TTTGTCACTTCTCAGAACTAAATTCAGAGGATGAGGGCTTACCATTCTATAAAGAAGCTCCGTTCAATAGCTGCTGTTAGGAATCTGAAACTGCCTGAATGTCGCGAAAGCAGACGTGCCAAAATGAAACCGAATGGAACATAGGTGAGAACTTCTAGCGTTCAATATTTCCATTTGACGCTTTTAAGCCTGAACAGTTGGCAAGCACTGTGTGTGCTCCCACTAGATAATTCCTGAAAAAACCTGCACATTGACCCTTTCTTTGTTTGCAAAACACAACCACAAAAAAAGAAAACATCTTTTGTGAAGGAAAAAAAACTCGACCATCGAAGGGTTAAGCCGGGTTTCTCAACTTCAGCACGACCAGGTCTCGGTATGCTACCTTTCAACTGGAAGCCTAATGACACGCTATACACGTCTCCAATTTACTATAGGTGGCACCACTAGTCTTCCAAAGTGGCAGTTATAGACCGTTCCATTAGGGTCATAGCGGAGAGGATAAAAGAGAAAAAAATGCACTCCCCCTCTCACCCCGCACGTCGTCCGCTCCACCGAGTGGGCTGTAGCTAGCGTCCGGCTGGCGTGCAAACTCGGCTTAAAATCGCGTCATTTTGGAACTTTTAAGTGCAGATGCGCAGATTTTGGTATGCCAGTTGTCGTGTAATACTATGCTAGATAAAAAGACTCACAGGGTCCAATTCCGCTGTTACCTGCGTGCAAATAAAAAAAAAAAAAAAAAAATAGGGAAAATTGTGTCAGATTGGCCGGTCTCTTTGGCGAAAAGTAAATCCGGTGGCTGTACCTTTTTTACTGTAAAAAGTTTGTACTGGTGTAGGCCTTTAGCGACCATGAGTGGAAGTCTGAAATAACAAATAAAACATGCTCTCCTGCCGCAATACACGCAGTAGTTGAGGGTAGTACTGCCGGCTGACTCAACTGCTATTTAAGTAACGGAAAAAGGATATGCTAGTTGATCATTTAGCGAAATAGAACAACAGAGAGCTATATAGCTGATTTTGGAGTAGCCACAACTATTCTAAGAACGTGAACGATTTCACAACGGCAGCCACGAGCGAGAGTTCGATGTTCCGCACTGCCCGCCGCTACAGCCCAAAGATGGAGAACGGCAACCTCCCGGTTTGTCGTCTGCTAGCGGAGTCGGGCGCGTGCCCTCTCTCTCGTTTTACCCCGCCGAACCCGCTGAATTTCCCGGATGTGTCGAGAGGGCGCTGCGGTCAAACAAAATGGTGCCGCCCAGAGAGCACTAAATGGAATGGTCTATAGTGAAGGTCAAAGCTGCGTGCTGGTATACCAATTGCTGAGCCTGTCTAGTGTGCTGGCTTCCCTGAGAGACACAAATGATTTCTGCTTATACGAAAAAGTTAGGGTATTTTGAGCGCAGGTCAAGTCCTTATCATGAAAACAAAAACGGTGTTTGGCGTAATATTTAAGCCAGGAGGCACGTTTAAATTCTGGAATGAAACCGAAACTAAGCTCTATTTTCAATTTAATTTCTCAATATACCGTATATTGCCGATTATAAGTCGACTCCCGAATATAAGTCGATTTCTTCAGACTACGACACGAAAAAAAAATTTTCTCATACGAGTTAGGGAAATTAGAAATATTTGTTTATTGGCATGGAAGCATATTTACACGCAGAAGTAAACGGTGGTTTACTCATCATCGCTCGACACTACGACGCAGTCACTGTCGCTAGAGTCCGGGTCAGCGCGCTCGGTCGGCTGAAGCGGCGTCGATATTGAGCATTTCGAAAAGGCCTCGCAAACCATGTCATCCGGTAATCCGTACCAGGCATCGTTGACCCAGGTCGCCACGGTGCTTAAAGACGCGCGCTTCACTCGGCCTGTCGGAGTCGTCGGGTTGTCCTCCCGGCTCAGCCACTCGTTGTAAAATGCTCCAACACGATCTTTAAATGGTTTGTTTAAAACCACGTCGAGGGGCTGGAGAGCCGACGTCATCCCGCCTAGAATGATTGCAAGGTCGCAACCCGCATTCACCACCGCCTTCTTCACGCAATCCGTAATGTGGGCGCGGAACGAGTCTAACACGAGCATGCTCCGGGGTTTCAGGAGCGCACCCGGGCGCCTGCACCAAACGAGGCGAAACCACTCGAGTACGGTCTCTTCATTAAAAAAGCCCTTCTCATTCACTCGAACAATAACTTTCGGCGAAAACACTTCTTTAGTTGGCAATGTCTTCCGCTTGAAGACGATGAAGGGAGGCAGCTTGTGGCCGTCTGCTGTGCAGCACAACATGACCGTGAAACGATTGTGCTCGTTCCCAGTCGTCACGAGGGGAACTTGGCGCTCTCCATTGCCGGTGACAGTCGTCCTACTCGGCATGTCGAACCAGACCGGCGTCTGGTCAGCGTTGCCGATCTGGCCGAGCATGAGGGAGTGCTTCGTTCTTACTTCTGTTACGTATCGATGAAATGCCCGCGATTTCTCTTCGTAGGCGTCGGGCAACCGCTGGCAAACTGTTGTTTTTCTTCTTAAACTCAGGCCACATCGCCTCATAAAGTTCGTGATCCATTTTTTTTTTAAATCTTGAACTCGCTCCGTCCAATTTTCATTTCGTTGGCAACAGCGCGCGCCTTGCTTTCTATGTCGTCGTACGAGACGCTGAGGCTTCTGCTCCGCTGCTCCGTGATCCATCGCAGAACAACCTCCTCGACCGCAGGGTACTGGCCTTGTTTGGGGCTCCGAAAGGACCGACGCGCACCCGCGCAAGCAAAAAGTTTCTGCCTTTGTTGTCTCCATCCCCGCACGCACTTCTCTGAGACACCGAAGTGACGCTCCGCCGCGACGTTGTTCGCCGCCTCAGCGAACAAAATAACCTTCCTCTTGAACGCTGCGCTGTACTGACGCCTAGCTTGAGGCGGCATTTTCTTCCACTTCGTGAAGGCTACTGAACAGACATGTGACAAACAAGGGTCTGATAGAGTTGGTCGTGGGTCTGACATGGCCGCGGTCGCGTGCTTTTGCTTGTGTACCTAGGTACAAGTCCCTACGTTTCCTCCACGGAGTCCCTAGATAGGTTTATGATTCAACCGCAAACGCTTTCCTGATACAACTTTAATAGTTTCATGCGACTAAAGGTGTTATAAAGTAAAATTAAGATTTAAAAATATTATAATTTTGTTTTTAGAACAACTTTATGCAGGTAACGGCTTAGCTGGCTCTCGAGCACCACGAAACTAGTCCCTTGTGAGGAAAAAAAGTCCCTAGGATCTGTCGTTCGTCTAGACGCGTTTTTAGGCCCCGCGTATAGGTCGACTCCGCGTATAAGTCGACCCCCCTAATTTGAGATACCCATTTCCTGAAAAAAAGGTCGACTTATATGCGGCAATATACGGTAGGCGATTTCGGATTCTTTCATAACTCAAGATGTGTCTCGCAGCATAATTATTGAGCTAAGGAAATTGCTTGCGGAAACTTCATTTTGTAGCATGCGTGTCCGACACAGGCACTTCAAAATATTTTGGAGTTCAATGTCCCTTTAAAGACCAAGCCTTTCATACACCGTAGAGGTAAAATAGAATCTTGTATTTGTTGAAAAAGTCAGTGTTGATACTTGTGTGTTCTTGCTGTCTTTTCTGGCTCAGGTAATTGTCATGTGAAATAATGAACTGTGGGCCTTTTAATGGTGTTTGGGTATTCAGATGATGAAATGCTTTAACATTATTTCTGGCAAAAAAATAAGAGAATTAATCCAAAATATACAAAATATTGCAATGGGTGACGAGTTTAGAATATATTCACAAAACATATAAATTAAGAAACGCTGTTCTCACTGCGAAAACTCGAAGACTGAATCGGAGTCAGACAGCAGAATTGTGTTTTCTAAAACAAAGCTCATATGACTTTATACTACATACAGTGTTTGAATTTTGTTTATCTTGATAACAATGTAAGAGTTTTTGATGTAAGAGTTTTTCATATGCTAAAAAGAAAACAAAATGAGGACTTTATGGAAAGACTTCTGGTCAAATGGAACAATTTTTTTATCGTTACGTTTATTGCGGACCTACATTGCTGCAATAAATTTTCAACATCTTGTAAACCCTGAGATGGGGAACGATAAAAAAACGGAACGATAAAAAAACGGACGGACGTTCCCCATCTCAGGGTTTACAAGATGTTGATTATTTACCAGCTCGCCTGCACTCTCTCAGTGCTTACAATATATTTTCGTTGCTTATGATCTCATTTCAAGTGCGTAAACAATAGCAGCATTGTAATGAATGAATTTTAAAATAAAAATTGTCTAAAATCATTGAAGGCATTCCCAGCTAACCTGAGAAATCGAAGTAAAATTACATTAATTGTGGGCAAAGCATATGCTGCTATCAAAGTCGTGACTTTTGACAATCGGAAAAACTTCCAAAGTCGCCGCATCCTCCTGGACCAAACACTGCTGCTGCTCAACCCCCCCCCCCCCCCCCCTTTAAAAAAAAAAAATTTTTTTTTAGTGTTTATCTTTTTTAAGATATGTGTTTTCTTTCATTCTTGCAGCCGTCATTTCGTCAATTTCAGCCTTTCCAGTTCGAAGGAATGCCTGCCCGCTTGCACGTCTGCTCACTGCAGCACATTTGGATGGCATTGGAAACCGGTGAAACAGTAGCGAGTTTGAGTATTGCGTATATGAGCGAACGCAAGCAGTGCGTGTTTGCGTTAGCGTTGTGTGTTCTACACTGCACGTGCGAGCAGCCAAAAATTGCAGTCTTATATTGGAGCATGTCAACGACGCGCATGCACAGCAGCGCACAACTCTAACGCAAACGCACATCGCTTGCATTTGCTTCTATACGCAATAATAAAACTCTCTAATAAGGTACAATCCCACACCAGTCTGCAGCACTACACTGAGACAGCGAAGGGTGCTGTTTGCATTCGGAAATGACGTTTCACGAGCCATGATCGCAAGCAGTATCCGTAAAGTGAAAGTGCGTCGTCGCACAGAAGGCGGCATCTCACCTGGGAGGGCTGTGCCCCTTACGAAGCGCAGCTTCCAGGGCACCACTTTTGGCTGGGTCGGTGAGCGGGCGGACCCGCGCTTGGGGGTCATAGGCTTTTCCCCCGGAAGAAGCAAGCAGGTTCCTCCCCTCCCAGTGGAGGGTGCTCCCGTGGGACAGAGTGGGGCCCGGTGCATGGCGGGTGGGGCTTTCTCGGCAGGGCAGCGAGCCGTGCGTACGCAAGTCGGAGCTCCGGAAGACGGACTCGGAGCCCTCGGGATGATGGACGGCGTTATCTCGGTGGCATGAGGAGCTCTCCAGTCGGGGTACCACACCCGATCCGAGGAAGGCGGGGCTCTTCGTCTGGTCAGCGGGAATGACGAGGGAGGAGAGGCTTTCTGCCTGGGCGACACTACTGGAGCTGGTGGCCACGCTCCGTGCCAGAACGGCCCTTGGACAGATTACGTTGCTCGGTCGCGGGCCAGCGGGTTCGGGAGGTGCCAGTTTCCTGGCGGGGGCCGGCATGCTGAAGAAAAATACAACCACAGATGAGTAGGACGCTCCCATCCCTTCCTGGGGCAACTTTTACACCCGTCCGGGCAGAGATCGCCGGCAGTGGTGCAAAAGACAGATTTCACTGGTCCGTGGCTTCCACCTCAAGAAGTGAATGCCAGTCTTGTATATTACCAACTTCTAAATGCTGGCCTTCATGGTCATTTTGAGCCAAAGCTAGAATGTGGCGCAATATTTCTGCCTGTCTCCACCGTTCGAACGACCACTTTCGAAACTCCCTGCCAGTAAAGAGTGGAGCGCGTCTGCTAAAAACAAATGAAACATCGCGCAAGTGTCAGAACATGGGAAGATAATTCCGCATCATCTCTGAAAACTGAGCTCCGGATAAATTTTTATTGCGCAAAAACTGCAATCTCGCATTTCACAAAACCCATCAGCACCGCATGTGAAGTAAACACCATTTCTCGAAAAATGGTACGGATTTACATCTCGCATTTAGATTTTTATCCCATTTTCCTCCTGTTTTTTGCACATCTGTTTCAAACCATTCTGACTGCACTGTCTGACTCAATTTTGAAAGGGCCGCTAAAGTGGTTTCTGAGGTCGCCTTTTTACAGCACAAAATAGAAATCTGCGCCCTAGGCATCCTAGAATACACAACACTACATGCATTCATGCGTGGCTTTTTCCTTTCTGAAAAGCAGGACCATACACTACACACACCGGGACCATGTATCTCAGGAAAAGGGAGGGTTGCTATGCTTGGTTGCATTTCTAATGACGAAAACCCCATAAAATTATAAATTGGAGTTTTCTAGTGCGCCGAAGGGGAGAGTTATCGCCATAGGAATCAATACTTTTCAACACAGCTGGCTTAGCGTCTCATGTGAACCCACTGCATCATCCGGGTTAAGGGCCTACAACTTGGGAGCCACAACTTGGTTATTCCCAATCAACCTTTCAATTCAAAACCAAGCTTTCAACACACAGATCCCCTCACCTTAGCATGTTTGCCCCACAGACTGCTCCGGACACAGGGTTAAGGAGGGCAGTGTTTTCTACGCAGGGGGCGGAGCCTCCTCCATGGTGGACGGAGCCTTCCTTCTCGACCCTGCCGGGCAGTGCACTCTGCGCAAGTGGGCTCCTGGGAACGGCCATTCCGCTCGACCAGAAGATCCCCAGATTTTGGGGTGCTCCGGACTCCTCCCCAATGCCACCCTTCCGGCATGGAATACCACTCTCTTGGAGTCTTCTGTTAAAGAAAAAAAAGCCACACAATCAATCAGTCACCGCTGGATGCAACCAGAAGACCAGACCGTTCTCTGGTTCTTGAAAATGCGGCCGGTTACTAATTTTATTTCGACAGTACTGTAGTAAAACGGGCAGAAGTGCGCGGCAAGAAATCGAGATTGAATCAAGGCACAAACACGATTGAAATCAACGAGCAAGAAAGATTACAGTCCTTAATATCAGTAATGCGAGCAAGCTAAAAGACAAGCCCGACAAATGTGTCTTAAAAAGAAAGCAAAAAATTGGCAGCAATCTTTACCTTCAAAGTTCTGGAATGCATGAAATGCGATTTAGGAAACCGAGAGAATTGCTGTCACATGAGGCATATTTCCCCGCTACAGTTAGTGGGGAAACTGAATGAATGTAAAGGTCATGTGACGTCAATTTCCCCGACTAAATTTAGCGGGGAAGCTCGACTGGTGACTAGGTCACAAGACGTGAATTTGCCAGCTAAACTTGGTGGGTGACGGAATCAGTGTATAGGTCAAGTGACGTCAATTTCCCACTAAATATAGCGGAGAAACTCAATTGGTGTATATGTCACGTGACATAAATTTTTCCACTAGATTTAGTGGGGAAACTGAATTGGTTGGTATGTCCCAGGTCAGGTGACATCAATTTTCCCACTAAATTTAGCCGAGAAACAGAGTTTGAAAAGGCCTCGTGACATCAATTTCTCCGCTAAAATTAGTGGGAAATACACGGAAAGACAAAGTTATGGGATTGGGTCAATCGTTAGAGATCCTTTCATGCTTTAAAACAAAACCAATTAATTAAGGCTCATGTGCCTCCTCATCAAACTCTAGATTTTCACCGTCTGGAAGGATGTGGGACTGGTGACGGAACTTTGTTATAAGATGGTAATAGCTTAGATTTAAAGGAGCGATGCAAGAATTTTTGTACTTTGCACAAACACCGCTTAAAACGGATCCCTAACGTTAATGACCTATGAAACACGCGTTCGTTTTTCACCCCACGCAATAGAAGTCCCAGAAAAAAATTAAAGAAAAACGAGCAGCGTTCACCCCCTCAACTCGCAGCCAGAACAAGCGGCCACGTGATCTGGAGCCGATTATATGCCGCCAGTGTTGATCATAGCCACGCGCTGGGGTTGGCAAAGCGCAGGACACGCGCTGAGTTCCAGACATTGTTATGGCTCGGCTGTTGTCGTCGTTGCAGCGATTGGACACAGGTCACTACCCGAATGCTTCTCGAGCTAGCAATTATCACGAGCCCAAGTCGAGTGCCCACGCAATGCTCGGGTCCAATCTATGAACCGCATTCAAATATCGTCACTTGGGTGTACTGCGATCCCCACGTTACGTCGTCAAATTTTGCAAAGGAGAGATTGAACGAAAATGATCGCTTTTGTCCTTGAAATTACACTGGAACAAAGGAGTTTCTTGGCTAGTGGCGTTGCGTGTGAGTGTCCTTGAGTCCTAGGTGCGCCAGTAAGCTCGTGTCAAGTGAAAAACATTCCAATTGAATATCGTTGCACCGCTCCTTTAAGGTGGCATTGAACTGAAGTTTTGAGTACATCTAAAATGAATACCTAAACCCTTTTCAGACACAGTTCCTGTGGTAGCTACAAAACACAAAATAAAGATGTTCGTCGCGATGTCTCAAATCTTGCCAAATATCTCTTCAGGACGGCTACGACAGTGCCCTTGCAAGACAGATTGGAACAACAAAGGAAACAAGCAGGAGTCAAAATCAAGCGTACCTTTCAGCGACCGGTTCTGGAACGGCCGGGTGAATTGGACTCCTGCAGCATCCCCCGTTGTCCGCCAATGCAGGGTCATCCCCACACAACTCCACAGTCAAGTCCATGGCCTCTTCCAGCGCTCCCGCCGGTGATGAAACGCTCACGCTTTCGTCCAGGAGTGCAAAGACCCTTAGCTCCATGCAGTTGACCCTCCCAATCTCATCGCAACAAAGCACCCTGCAAATCTTCCTCATCACCTCCAAGATCCCCTTGAGGGTAACGAGGCCACGAGGAATCAGTGCCTCCACCAGCCTCAGCCGGACATCCGCTGTGCAGTGGTCCAGCGTGATAAAGAAGCTCTCCAGGAAGTGTAGGTACCGGCCAAACAGCTGCTTTGCAGGATAACCAGGTGGGCAACACCCGGACCCCTTAGGAGGCTCTGGAGCTTGCGGAGGGGACTCCTTGTTTGTGCATTTGCTGCCTATAGAAACGCCTTTTATCTGCAAGCCATCCTCAAAAGGAACGCTCGCTCCGCGTGGTTTGGGAGGCGACACAGCCCCGCTGTTTCCGAAAATGCTAGTAAAAACTTGCAGAGACTCAGCTTGCGACTCACGCACGTCGTGTGCACCACCAACCTCTGGCAGTGGTGCAAGACAAGCTTCCACTCTCAACAGGCAGGCATCATTGTTGGATGGCTCTAAACAACGGTCTCCCAACTGATGTGCGTTGCTTTCACTCGAGGACATTCCGTCACTTTTGGTCTTCTGCTCCTCGGCATCGAAGCTGTCGAGGATAGTGTTGACGTCCAAGTACAGAGGTTCCAGTGTTTCGGACTTGATCTGCACGTTTTTGTCCTTGCAGAGGCCTTCTAAGGCAATGCACAGTGCACCAGGGTTGTCCAACAGTGACAATGCGACATCTGGTGTGGCCAATACCTCGGCATCTTTCTCGGTTTTCGCGGCTTCCTGCACTCTATCCATCCCATGTATAGTCTCCTCAATACAGTCGCCTTTCATTGACTGCCAATCTGCCTCCGACAAGCTACGACACGAATGCTCCAGGATCGAAGGGACGTTTGAGCCTTGGACTTGGGTTACGTTTTCCCTGCCCTCTCTCGTAGTAGCTGCAACATCTCCAAGCAAAATAGAAGCTACTCCAAGTTCTGGCTTACATTCTTCCTCAACAAGCTCCTTGAAGCAGTTGGCAATCACTTTGGAACTGTCGTTTTTCTCAAAAATCTTTGGCTCACAGACTGCTTCCATGACATCCCCTTCTTCCTTGTGACAGTTAAAAGCCCCCTGCGGCAGCTGAAAGGTTTCGTTGTAAGAAACAGTCGTAAGAACAAGTTCCTTGCAGTCTTTAGAATAGTCTTCATGATCATAGTCTTTCTTGATGATCTTTAATCCACAGTTTGCTTCTATGGCATTCTGTTCTCCTTTACAGCAGTTAGAAGCCTCTTGCTGCAGTTGGACAGTCTTGCCGCAAGGAACTGCCGTAGGGATAGATTCCTTGCAGATGTTAGAGGTCACTTGGGGACTGTGGTCTTTCTTGCTGACCTTTGGCCTGCAGTCTGCCTCAATGGCATCCCCTTCTAGGTTGATGGAAGCCTCTTGTGGCAGATGCAAGGCCTTGCTGCTAGGAACAGCAGCAACAAGCTCCTTGCGAATGTTGGATGTTTCATCAGGATCATCATTTTTCTTGCTAATCTTCGGCCTGCAATCTGCTTCCATGGTGAACCCTTCTCCCTTGCGGTAGTTGGAAGCCTTATGTGGCAGTTGGAAGACCTTGCAGAGAGGAAGCGCTACAACGACATGCTCCTTGCAGATGTTAGAGGCCATTTCTGGACGATCGAATTTCTTGCCAACCTTTGACCCACAGTCCTCTTCAATGGCATCCCCTTCTCCCTTGCAGCAGTTAGTAGCCCCTTGTGGCAGCTGGAAGGCTTTGCTGCAAGAAACTGTAGCAAGGACAGGCTTCTCGCAGATGTCGGAAGTTGCTTTAAAACTGTTGTCTTTCTTGCCGACCTTTGGCCCGCAACTTGCTTCCGTGGAGTCCCTTCGTCCCTTGCGGTAGGTGGAAGCCCCTTGCAGCCGTTCTACTGCAAGAATACGCTCCTTGCAGACTTTCGAAGCCACTTTGCGACTATTGTCCTTTTTGTCAATCTTGGACCCATGGTCTTCTTCCACGGTGTCCCCTTCACCCTTGCAACAGGAGGAAACACCTTGAGGTATTTGGAAGGTCTTGCTGCAAGGAAATGTGGGAAGGACAGGCTTCTTGGGGATGATGGAAGCAGCATCAGAACCGTGGTCATTCTTGTTAATCTTTGACCTACGATCTGCTTCCATGGCGTCCCTTTGTACTTTATTGCAAATGGAAGCCCCTTGTGGAATTTGGAAGGCTTTGCTGCAAGGAACAGTACTAAGGGAAAGCTCTTTGCTGATTTTGGAAGCCGCTTTGGAACCATAGTCTTTCTTGCTAATGTTTAGCTTGCGGTGTACTTCCACGGTGTCCACTTCTCCCCTGCGGCAGTTAGAAGCCCCTTGCGGCAGTAGGGAGGCCTTGCTGCATGGAACTGTGGCAAGGACAAGTTCCTTGTGGATGTTAGAAGTCACCTTGAGACCACAATTCTTCTTTCCTATCTTTGGCTCACGGTCTGCTTTTATGGCATTTTTGTCTCCTTTTTCACATTCTTGCTTGCTCGAATGAGAAGCCGAATCACCATCGCTAAAAAGACGCTTCATCCTTAGGGCGGTAATCTTGCCACGAGTCTCAAGGTCCAAAGAAGCAACACCTTCTTCCACAAAATGCTCCAAGAATGCAGTTGTTTGGAAGTCCAGTATCTGTGCCTTGCGAGTAAAGCGTGCCCTCTTTACCATTTCCTTCGCCTGTTTGCAGGCACAGTCCACACGATGGAGCCTCAGCTCCATCGTGTGGACTTGATCTGACGTTATTCTCCGCTTCGTCTTTCGATGTGGCAAGCTGTCCATCTTAGGAGGTGAACCTTCATCACTAGACTCGCTGCTTGACAAGATCCAGGGCCCCTTCTTGCGTTTTTTGCAGGGGGTCTTGCATGGGCTCCTTCCGTTGGTTGCCATTGAGCCATGCCCTTTCTCCAATGAGACAGAGCGCGGCTTGTGAAGTAGCTTAACTGCACTGACGTCCCCGCTGGTTCTTCGACGCAAGGAGTGCTTCGGAGTCTCCAAAGCCTTGGGTGGTGATCTCTTCGTGGCCATGAGAGCTCCGCCTTTCATTGCCGCTTGTTCCGCCGAAATGACCTGGGAGAGCGAGCACCGGATGCAGGTGTCCCCCGCTGAACTTTCAGACACGTGCTTCCGCTTACAATTCACACACAGTTGTGGCAGGTTCCCCGGAGACTCTGCCTGCTGCTTGCCGTTGGGCCTCGCAGAAACCTCCTTCGATTTTGAGGTGGAGATATTCTCAGGGCTGAGCTGAAGTCTGAAGCCGAAGCTGCCCTTGCAGTTGAGCATTGAGTAGGCCTTTTTCATGTTGTCCAGCACTTGGCCCAGGAGCTCACTGGCTCCCAGCGGGTCCATGTCGTCCACCCCAGAGCTGTGCCTACCGGGGGAGTCACAGTCGCGCCTAGGAACCGCACTGGATCCTGCTTCATGCTCTTCACTCTGGAATTGAAACAAAGCCGGGCCCACCGGAAATGAGGGGATTAGTATACTGTGATGGGTAGGAAACAGCATGCCATGCCCTAGTGAATGAAAAACCTTCTAGAAGTCAATCCAGCTGGATCAGAAAAGACCTCATAATATAACCAGTGACCAAGTTTCTTCACTTAAATTAGAAATGAAAATTAAAGAAATTGCGTGAAAAATTTACATTCTGCAATTTACAATTGCAAAAATCCCATTTGCTGTGTCTTAAAGGGATGCTGAACCGAAATCTGGATTCCCCAAAACACGCGGCAAAAGCGTGCAACGGTATGCTACAAACACCAAAACATCACTCATACAGCGATATCTCGAAAGGATGACCGTATTTTTCCAAAAAAGAGGCGCATTTGGCAGGAATGTTGACGTCATGTTTCTCCGAAAAGGAGAGGGAACGGCCTCGCGTCTTCTCCGTTTCGCGGCCTTGAGGGAGCGAAGCGAAGTGAGGAGGAAACTAGGTATCTTGACAGTCACGCGCCTCGTCGGCCTGGTTCAATCTCGACTTCTTTTTCCAAAAATACGGCCGTCCATTTGAGATATCGCCTTACTAGTAGTGTTGTAGGGATTGTAGTGTCCCGCCTACATCTCCAGCATTGTTTCTTTGAAATCTAAATTTCGGTTCACCATCCCTTTAACCACTTGGCTACTAATCACGTATGTTACTTGTGCCATCCATTACAGACTGGAAGGCCCGACCACAAGTCTGACTAGCGTTTCATTTTCGGAGCTTGTTTAGTGTGCTCTCCGGCAGGTGGCAGCACTGCCACTACTCCTCTGCCCTTTCAAGTTATTCTGCTGTTTGTTTTAAAGTTTCACTGAGCTGTACTGTCCCAGGAAAAAATAATATATAAAGATTTGAGGTCTGCAAGCGTGGCGAAAGGTTACCTGGTCTCAATGCAGAGGTCTGCTTAGTCTGATCAAGAAATACAGAAACTTTTTTTTTTTTAATATATGCGTGTAACACAATTTATGATGACAAGTCATACAACCTCTCCGAAGACTCTAAAACTTCACTTAAGAATTTGCACAAAAAATTAAAAGAAACATTGACTCGGCCTGATTATGTTTTGTTGCTCTCCACTTCCTGAATGTTTCCAACAGTACCACACAGTGGAGAACTACTGAATGAACACATAAAATTGGATTCACGAAAATGATACAATGAAACCAAATAAATCCTCGAGCTTAGGGAGGGGACGTAAAATGGACTCGCCGAACAGTGTCCAACTAAACTGAGGAAACAAGTTCTCCAGGGTTTGGCTAATTTTTATAAGCATTCGCTTTAACCTTATTTCAAGCACCACTGGTGTTTGCACACTCCTAACAGAAAAAACCTGCCAGGTTGTCATTGCTTTTCAACATCAAATGTGTGTTGCCTAAACGACCGTGAAACAATATTGCATTGGAATTTTACTAACTGCCTATCGCTCGGTCGGGCGAGTAAAAAACTAGGCCAGAAACATAGGGCACCAGAAACTTGGTCGCTGCAATATTTAGAAACTGAGGGCAGACAAATCCTTTTCCTCCTTTCGGAGCCTTCAAGCGATTTCAAATTACGTCGTCGGAAACGTGATGCAGTCTTAGCAAGCACAGGTCAGTTGACTTAAGGCTCGTTCACGCTCTTGCAACCGAGTACGACCGAAAGAGATCAGACCGGTTTTCTTAGGACCGGATGCGCTGCAGCGGGGCTGGTCCTAAGAGACCGCAAGAGGCTTAAAAACCGGTCTGGTCTCTCTCGGTCGTACTCGGTTGCAAGAGTGTGAACGGGTCTTTATGCTCGCTAAGAATCAATCCGTTCTAAGTTTACGTTCGTCGACAATTAAGGCCGGTTCACACATTAGCATTGGTTGCATTCAAAGTGACCGAAACGACAGCAACCACCAAGTAACCGGGACAACTGTTCTCCGCACAGAATGTGGCAACCGATGCAAGAAGTAGCTTCTGCGAGCAAGCATGAGTCACAGTTGTCCCAGTGGTTTCCGTTGTTTCACTTCCAGGGAATACAACCTACACAAATGTGTGAACCGGGCGTTAGTACAAAGATGGAAATCCTAGAGCTGTACAAATGTCTGGTGCACAGCACCTGCATAAGCATTGACAACCAAAGCATGCGACCGTGGTAACATTCAAAGTATGAGCAAATGAAATAATTCCCGACAGCTTGTTCTGGCCACAAATCACGAGCACCAAAAACACTTCCTGGACACAATCTGCCGCATCACATGCGGCTGCTCATTTCACCCGTGGGTTGAAAAAAAAAAAAAAAACCCTGGGCTTTCCAAAAAAGCTTTTTCAGCAAAAGTTGGTGTATTGAAACAAAAAAGGTTTCCTGCTCTGGGTTCTTTGAACATTCAGGATTTATGGAAGGCACCATTTAATAAACAATAATCTAACAAAAATAAAAAAAAAAAGAATTTGTCATTTTTATAAGCTGTATGTCAAAAATGACGTACAGCTTAAAGGGACCATGAAGGCAGTTTCGAAGTTTTATTCGACGATTGAAATGGATGTCAGGCACGTCTCAGATACTGTTGACCAAGTTCTAGCCCGAACAGAAGTTTGGGTGCCGCACCAATCGAGCAAACAGGCGCGGTAATAATAGCGCCGGGAACGATGCCTGAGACCCCACCGAAGCGTGACGACAACGGGCTCCTCGTCTGGCGATTGGTTCAAACGATAGACGCACTCTTGGTTTCGATTTCGGTGGTGAGATGTGGTGAAAAATTTTTATTTGAACTTTGGATAATCTTTTGAAGTTGTAGTTGGAAATTAATAGGTTTCATACCGTGTATAAAAGCATAATCTTAAGCATCCCTCCGTTTGTCACTGGTTGAACGCATCCCGCGCTGCTACCTCGGGCACATAACAAGCATCGAGCAACCATGGAGAAAAAAAAAAAAGAAAAAGGTACGAGCACCGGGGGCGGCGGACTTTTTGGTTTTGGTTTCGTGCATCGTCTCGTGTTCGCTTTGCGAACTGGTGTCTCACCAATCATGCCGCGTTTATGTGCAGTAGTAGGTTGCGCGAAAGGTCGGCTAACGACGTGCGGTCGATCGGGCGACGTTACTTTGCATAAACTGCCGACCGATGCAGCAATGCGCAGCATTTGGTTGCGCGCCGTCGTCTTGCGTAGAGCTGTGGACAGCGGTGTCAGGATTTGTTCGTTGCATTTCCGACCAGAAGACTTTGAGCAGCACCTTCACGTCAGCCGGAGTCTGGGTAAAAACATGAAGTTCCCGCGTCTGAGGAAAGACGCTATTCCCTTACTTTCCTTGCGCAAAGAGCCCACACCACAGCGGCAGCGTCCTTAGCAGCATCTCCCGTTCAGTCGGCGTGAGGTCGCTGAACGGGAGCTCAAACTCGTTTGCGAGCGCGGCGTTGTCGTCCGTTTCTTCCAGGTTTTCTTCACAGACCGCCGTGCACTAGAGCAAACCACGGGAACCACACTGAGTGTGCACTAGATCCTACCGATGCCGACAGTGCTCCCTGACGTCACTTCTTTTTCCAGAGGCAAAAAAGGGAAGTAATCTGAATGTTTGTTTCGGTTTCGCAATTTTATTTGCAGGTACAGAAATGAGAGTCACAACGTTCTAGAAAAAATTGTGTGGCATGCCAGGACCCCAATGCTTCCGAAAACACCTTCTTTTTTAAAAAAAATTAAATTGCCTTCATGGTCCCTTTAAGGTCAGTCTGCCCCTAAGCACAGCGACACTGGTTTATGCTGTAGACGAGAAATTTGTAGGCCCTTTAAATGCACAAATGGGTTTTGTTTGTTCATTATGCGCAGCATCAGTGCTGCAATTATTGTTGTCAAAGATGCAAGCATACAAAGCAGTTTTGGCCCTACTGAAGTTGAAGGCAAGTTGTAAAACTGAATCATGAAGGAACCTGAAAGCAGCCAAGAAGTTTCCCCAGACGCAAGAAAGTATTGCACCTTACACCGGTCTTTCGTTTAAATAAAGTCTCCCAGTGGATATTCTTTTTCCACACCCTAAAACGGCGGACACGAATCCGTAGACACGAGGGAATGCATGCAATATGAATATCAAAATGGCGAATGTAAACAAACGATTACAATGGCTTAAAGGGGCACTGACACCCCAAAGGTCGTATTCTTTTTTATTGTCTAAAACGATGCAAGTTGTAGTCATAGACACGCAAAAAAAACCGCATCGCGAAAAAAAATTTTCCCGCGCGCGCGCGCGCCTTTTTATTTTTGGCGTTTATATTTCCCGCGCTCACCTCCTTGCTTCTTTTGATCGGTGACGTCAAAAATCTGGAAATTTAGAAGCTTTGTAGGCGACCTTTCTATAACATTTAATAACGGCAATCGTAAAACATGTTTTTTAACGCAATTACGAACGCACTACGGCCTTTCTTTTTGAAATACTGAAAATAAGATTTCGGTGTGATGTCGCTTCCTGGATTTGTATGCTCCCTCGGAAACCTCGGAAAACTTGGCGGCGCTCGAGCAGAGGATTATCGGCGAGTCGGGGAGGAAACCGGTTTTTTTCCCGCGCCGGCACCCTTCTATCCCGCCTGCTCGCCTCCTCCTCGCTTCGGGTCGCGGTAGCAACGGCGCTCTTCACAGCGTGGAGCGGAGGTCTGAAAGAAAGTCGAGTCGCAGGAGACCGCAAAATTTGACTCACTGCACTGGCGCGGATCGCGCGGGAACTTCAAATTCGGCATTTGGAAATTGTTTTTTTAATTCAGAAATACGGAATTCCCAAGTTTCAAATTTTGAGGGTAATGTCCAGGCATCGTTTTCAATCGTTTCGGATAGTAAAATAAAATATGATTTTGATGTGTCAGTGCCCCTTTAAGGCTAGCCACCTTATACCGAGAATGAAAGTTTTCTCAAGTTTTGGTTTCTTGTTTCGATTGTAATGCGCATGCAGTTTTGGGCACCGACTTTGTCGAAAAAGTGTGCGTTAGAATCGTGCAAACACAGTATACGGTGC